CAAGACAGCATACGCCTACGTTATGGTTGGAAGATCCAAGGAGTGCCCTCTAAATGTGCCTGCGGAAATGTAAACAGTATCTACCACGCCCTTGACTGTAAACTGGGTGGATACGTTTCCATGCGCCACAATGCCATAAGAGACACTGCTGCTTTCTTTCTCCGAGAAGCAAAGTGTAAAGACGTAAGGATAGAACCAGCACTCTTGACAGTCCAACCAAGCTCATTTTCAAGGAAGACCAACACCCAGAATGAAGCCCATCTTGATGTAGCAGCTGTTGGATTGTATGCACCTTTTGAAAGAACATTCTATGACATCAGGGTTACACATCCTAACTGTGACACAAATACATTTAAGCCACTAGATAAGATATATAGAGACCATGAGATAGAAAAGAAAGATTTGTATGAAGAGAGAGTACTTCAGTCGGAGAAGGGATACTTTGTCCCTCCACAGTGGGCTACCATGCTAGCATAGGCCTAAAATCGACTTTCTTAAATTTCTTTGAAAATAAGCTTTCCTTATTGTAAAACGCTAGCCCGATTTCATGCAAAAAACCGTAATTAAAAACTTTGCAAGATGCCAAAATGGCGTCGCGTGAAAAAATAGCATTTTTCACTGTCAAGAAATTTTGCCTTTTTTAGCCAAAAATTGCCTAATATTTATTATTTTGGGCTAAAATGCCTGATCAAGGCAGTTTTTAATAATTGAAATACAGTATAGTACTTAAGAATACTCATTCATCTAAAAAAAACTGTGTGACTTTAACATTTTCACCTGATTTTTGACCGCGCCTTTTTTATGGCGTGTATTTTAGGCAATTTTTGGGGTATTTAACGACAGAAATCGTTGTTGGTTTGCAATAGTTCGGTATAATGCATGGTATCATCAGAAAGCTTAGACAATTCCCTATCAGATGCAATAAGAATCACTTTGGGAACTTTTGGGCAACTCTGTTTACAAAATTAAGAAACTCAAAAATTGGGTAAAATTTGCTGCATTTTTAGATAATTTATGAGCTCAATTTTGCTATTAAATTGACATATTTTAGTTATTCTCCATGTTTGTGGCATTTTTTGCATCCTAGACCAGATGCATATGGATGAAAAATCAAAATATCACAATTATTATAGTTAAAATTGATAAAAATCCAAAAAATCGTGATTTTAAACGAAATTTTTGAAAATAACAGGAACAATTTTGGTGTTTCAGAAAATTTTGGTCATATAAATGGGCACAACTTTTGTTCTGATCAATATTTTTTCATAATTCAAAAAGATTTGAGTTCCTAAGATAGCTTCCTTCGTTTACAGTTCATAAAAGAGCTTTAAAATTGATTAAACCTCTAAAAAAACAACTTTTCCTGGGATCAGCCTCCTATTTTTGGACTACAAGATTGCTTAAAATCGGCCCAAAAATTTTTTCTGAGACATTTTCGGCCCTGTAAATGATTGGAATCGTATTTTTGTACCCAAATTACCTTAGAAACAAAGTTAGGGGCATGTGTGATGGTCTAAAATACCCTATGCTAGCATGACCCCCACTCACAGCCCACTGTGCCCTCTAGTCTTCACAACCTCTGGAGGTATTGGACTGCTCTGCACAGTGTTTGTAGATCGTGTCTCTAAGATGATAGCTGACCACAAAAAAGAAGCCAAGAGCCAAGTCAAAAATCATATCAGATTCCAGGACACGATTCAGATTCGATCTGTTAAGAAGTACACTCATTGCACTGAGGGGAATCAGAGGAAGGTCAACAGCCCAGCATCTTGAACTGCAAGACGTATCCTTCAACCCCATCCCCCAGAAGACAAGCTTTGAGGTCTCCTAGATTTGTTTATGTAAATTTTGTAGATATTTTACTGTACTATTTTATATTGTATACAATTTTACGGACGAAATGATCCCAGGGGGGACTCCCAACCCAACGCTTCGGCGGGTAGTTGATGCACTGATCACAAGCAAGAGCCACTTTGGTCTACTTGCTGTGAGGTGTCTCAGCTACATGGGTTGGGGGTCCCCCCTTTTTATCTTTTTAAAAAACATCATCACTAATGTCTACAAAGTGTCATCTCACTACATGGAAATGTATACACTATTTCTCCATCAAATTTAATTTAAGTAATAATTAATCAAAAATTAATCATAAATAACAACAACATTTAAAAAAATTTATTTATTCATACTTCCTAGTGAATTAAAGATTTATAAAACGTTTCTTTGCTACATAAGAATGAAACCAAAGATAATCATTGTGTTTTTCCTTATTACTGACATAATTGGTACCTTCAATTATTGTTAAAACTTCTTTCGAAACATTCCAAAAATGAAAGTCATTAACAATACATTTAGAAATCATATTCTTCTTAAAACTTTCCAATCTAATTTTAAAACTCAAAACTGTCAAGCAGTTCTTCACCTCCAAAGGGAGTTTGTTCCAATAAGGAACAACCCGCTCTGGAAGAAAAGAACACTGAAGATTCTTGACCTTTGTCACACTCTTACTACATCTATTGGATGAAACCAGATTAAGACCTGATCTGCTTGGTCTGAACAAGCCTGAACCATAATCAGTCAAACCATTAATTACCTTAAAAGCTTCAATAAGGTCCCCACGTATTCGCCGCCCTGCCAGCGTTGTCAAATTGGCGCCCCCTCCCACTGAAAAAGCGCCCCCTTTTGGCGCCCCTCCCTAAAATTAAACAAGTTAAATGATTTTAGAGGATACGCCAATAAAATCTCTAAAAAGTGTGTTCTAGAGCAAAACGTGCAGTTTTGCTAATACGGTAGTTAGGTTTTTCAAAATTGTCCCACATTCAAACAACGATTCTGCACCCCCCTAAGATTGCGCACAACGGGCTCGGCAGGGCCCTTTGTTACACCACTGGACGCTGCCCAACCTATCACGTAGCCGGACTGGCGGGAGGTTGTATGGGAAGCTGCACAATTCATTGGACCTATTTATCATCAAAACCAAAACAGCTATATTGTGCAGCATTATCGAAACGGTGATCATTGCTTCAAAGAATACTAAATTGGACAACTTGCTGATATCAAATCCTCACAAAAAGCCTTCCGGCCTGTAGTTCAGATAGTTCATTGTCTACAAGAGCATTCTATGAAGACATCTTGTTGTAATACAGAAATTATGGAAGTCACTATCGAATAGTATATTAGGTATATATATTAATTCCCAGAGTGGTACCACCCACAAGGCGTCGTCCTCTTAGAGGAACCTTTCTAAACTTTGCACATGATCCAGTAAAGTGACCGATCTCTGCATCAGAGTGTCCCAATTTGTCCTAATTTGAGATGTAATACCTGCAGGGTTCATTTCCAACCAACCAACAAAAATCTATGCTCAAAACCATCTTAGTGTCATGAATTAGGGGCTAAATTGTCCACCTACTAAGATTCAAATTGTCATCAACTAATTTACCAGACTGCAGAGCCAAAATAGGCTCATCAGCACCTTAAAGGGAACCCCAACCAATCTTTCCACCTACCTACAGAAAAGACTTGATTTTATTTTGACTGTGGAGAGCTTATTTCTGTACAGCTCTTCTGCTTCAAATCTGAACATGTGAGTTTTGCATAGTTGGAGAGAGTATTTGAGCCAAATTACAGGTCCTCTGATCTTTAGGTTCTTGTTTAATGTTTACTATCAACATATTATATCTCTGTTCTGTAAATCAATTGGTAGGCTAAACCATACATAACTATTCATTTATGGCACTATGTTGTTACTTGTTTTTCCAAACATAGTGTTGACGAACCACTGTTTCACAATTAGGATGTCACACTCTTTCAACAACGACTTTTCAAATACACCTGAAAAAGAGCGTGGTTTACAACAAATTAAGTCAGAATTCAATGCTGGTGAGATGCAAGCTTTCAAGGGATCATGCAGTTTTCAAAAACTAGAAAAGGTAACTATAGCTTATATGTCACTCGGTTAAATAAAATTTATGATCGGGTACAATGATTTATTTCTCTTGTTGTTCTAATTATCTATAGTTTATCAATGTGTTATTGTGTTATTTTCCTGTTATTCTCCTTCAAATGTTGCAGTTGATGATAACCATTTTAATTTTAGGTCAGAAATATGCAAGAAGCTCTTGCTGTAAAACATCTAAAACTCGATGTCAATAAATCTGGTGCACTACACGAAGACTCTACTTCATTAGAGAAGTTTAAGGAACTAATGGACGATTTGGACAATTTGAGTTCAGAAATCAAAAATCTCCACAAAAGCTGATTGGTGGTTTTCATTTTAGAGGGGAAGCTTACTTGTTCCTTTTTGGCTGCTAGAAAAATGTTCTTACTTTAATAAATTGTACTGCCCTGACTCACGTACAACTGAATACTGAAACACAGTAGTGGCTTCAACATTACTGTTTGAATCAGGGACTGTTCACACATTACGTAATCATTTTTGGCCAATTTTTAACCCCCCCCCCCCTCCTCCGTAATCGATTTTACACATAGCTATTGTGTCAAAATTACACTAGCGTAATCATTTGGAAACCCCCCTCCCCCCTCGGCTGATTACGTAATATGTGAACGACCCCTTACCAGCAATGAAAGTAACTTTCCCAGAATTGGTTATGTTTTGTTACTGTTCAAGGGTTTAAAACTTTGAATCTACAACAGTTTCTTAATATTTGTTATTCATTTTGTTTTTTGTTAATCGACTTCTTATGGGCATAATTGACTGATCTGTAATGTGTGTATATTTTGTGATTTAACGTTAATTTTGCAATTATTTACAAGTTATTCGAAAAATTGAAATCTTATATCTTGTTCATCTTTGAAAACGGTTGTTAACAGCTACTGTTCATGTTAAATAAAAGGCAATAAGTTCATAAAGGCCTTGCATTACCTAAATCAGATAATCATTTCTCATTGTGATACAAATGATGTTAATAGTAAAAGTATTAAGTACTAAAATAATTTGTTAAATCATTATCATGTCTGCACAAACTTACTAATTCTTCCTCAGTACAGAACTGTAGGATGTGAAATGGCATTAGAGGACCTGGGTACATAGAGAAAACCCCAATAAGATGTATTTGTTGCTGTTATCTGTTATATTGGCGGGGGTGGATGGAGCTAACAAGTTCAACATGTGTTGCTCTATAAGGGCGTTTAACGTGGAACCCTGCATGATAAAGGATGGGAGAGTGTTGGAAAACTTCTCCAGTAAAGACAAGATAGCTGCTTTTCCCATTACAAACGGTAAGTGAACCAACTTTAAAACATTTGTGCGTCATATTTTTGTAACTATAATCTGTTCTAAAGAAATGAAACGTGTGTTGAAAATATCAACGATCTGAGCTAACCTCAATTAACAGCTACCCTCGTAATGTTATTACATGGAAACAATATCGAATCTGGTGGGAACATGGATTATAATTTCCAATAATTTCAGTATTTTCATTTCCACGTGGTGTAGGTTAGTTAATTTGTGTCTACCCAGGTACCGACGTGATGGATTGTAGGATGTATGGCGAGGAGTCAGCCAGCTATTATCTGAACTTTGCTAGTGAGACACTCGTTAATATGGAGGACCCTGGAATCAACATCCTCAACACGGTACTTTTTTATCAGTGTTAACGGTGTTTAACTTATTTTAATGTATCAGGTTTAGTGGATTACATTACTTTGGTGTTCTTCCATGAGCACTGATTAGGGTGCAAATATTTTAGGCTGGTGCAGTTACGAGATTAGAATTTTAAGATTGATGTAACAACGTTTATTATATATGGTGCTTAGGCTTAGTACTGGAATTTGGCTGTTTTAAAAAAAGAATATTTTATTTGATTAGAAGTCTGCTGTGTAATCATTTTGTTGAATGGTAAGGTCTCTCCTTCTGTGTTACAGAGTGCACATTTAGATGAAAAGTGTCGTATATTGTACAGTGATATCTATAGTAACACATCATCTGACCATATCTACACAATTTATTTTAGTTTTTGCTATTCCTGTTTTTCGTTTGAACCCCACCCAGACTCTTAGACTGGTACATTCCCGTACAAGAAATAGAAACAACTTGACTGGATAGCAAGGACAAGTTGTTTTTATTTCTTGTAGGAAGACAATTAGTTGAGTAGTAAGTTAATGATACAAAAATTCATTTGGGTAGGACAATGGTAACATTGTCATTATGTTAACCGTAACATAACAATAAATGTGATTTCAGCTAAACCTAACTAACACACCACATTACTTCAGGGATTAGTGAACAGCACAACGACCCCCTTCACGGTAAACTTTACCTGTCTTCAGTCGCAGAAAACTTTCATAAAAGTTGAAGCTCACATCAAGGACTTTGATGACAACACAGATCACTTTATCTTTTACCTTGCCAAAAACTGCACAACGCCAACCTCCATTATTATCACTGACAAGTGAGTTTGCGGAAATTTGCTAGATTTTAAGTTTGCCTGATTTTGAGAACCTACTCGAATATTTCTGCTGTGTTCCTTATCATAAAGAAATATTATGAAGAAATCATGGTAATTTTAAAACATCAAAATTTGGTGGCTTCTAGAAATAATTCTAGAAATAATGTTTGAAGAGTTTTTAGGACTGTATAGGATATATTATGTAAAGAGTCTTTAATCATCAACACACGTAATATAATGCTAACCCTAGTTTTATTATGATATGTGCATAATGTTAATTTGATATGGGATATATATGTTTTATAACGGCATATTTAATTCGCCGCATCTCCTAAAATACGGCATTCGAACAAACTATTTATATCGTGAGTCTAATAGTTATAATAAATAATTCTTCATAATATGGAGTCAAAAGACTTTGAAACATGATCCAACTTAGTTAACGATCACACGTTTTAACTTACAGCAAGAACGCGATGATCCTGTACGCAGTGTGCGGGGTTCTGGCTCTAGTTCTGATAATTGTGATCGTGGTATCAGTGGTGTGCTACATAAGAATCAGAAGGAGGGCCCTCAATCACAAGTGTATGACCGGTAAGTGTTGTCATGGTGATATCTGGTATTTGGGTGATTGTCAATTAGAAGAATAAGTACCTGTTAAATGGAGAACAATATCATTGTTGGTTGATTGTGTAATGTCCGTAATTCCAACTTATAAGCCATCAATTGAAAGAAGCCTCGCAATATTTCACGCCACTCATTGGGAATTGCAGATAATCTTCACATTTCAAAGTTTTAACTTTCAAACGGGCAGTTTCTAATAAGTTTAAATAGCTTATTAGTCTCTACCAAATCTACAGTTTCCATAAATTAAATTCCTTGGCAGAAGGAGGAGGAGTGAACATGGGTCCCGCGCGGCACCCTAACGGCTACACTCCTCTCCCGGACAACTCATATAACAACCAGTACGGCACGCCTCCCCACCCTAGTCAGCAGTCCGGCTACACCCCGTACAACCCTGGCGGACCCGGTCAACAGTCTGTCCCTTCCCTCCACAGCTCTAATCAACAGCAGAAGATCATGCCAGGCTACGGGTACAGCTCCGGAGAAGGTAATACCCTGGTCTCAGAGCCAGTCACCCGATACTCTTATCTATGATCTAACAATGGGTTGCATACCTATCCTGCATACCTATCCTGTTATGTAAGTAAATATAAAATGTGAGTTATGTTTATGCCGACTGATTACTGAAATTATCTTCTCCTATTTCAGGAAGTTTTCTGTCAGAGCCGCATCACAACAAGATGACCGGAGGAGGGTTGCTGCCCCCAGCGTATCCTAACGGACACGGTACTTCGCCTGAACTTAAGATAAACAGATCCTCTGTCGTCTTCGATACTTTCCTGAAATCAGGTTTTTGCAAAAGATATAAAAATGTTAAAATATGACCGATTAATATGCAGCGACATGGAGTTGAGAGTGTGCCAAATTTAATAACAAATAAATGTAATTTCCTTGCAACAAAATCCACTAAAATCTAAATACTCTGCCAGGTTCCATAGGAATCACCTACCTGGCTACCTACACCCGGGACGCAGCCCTCAACCAACGCTCCACCGTATTCGCCAAGACCCTCAAAGAGGAGATGTGTAACAGAGAAACTGTAACTGCGTTCCTGCGTGAAGCTGTCATCTTAGAGCTGGTCGCTCACCCAAACATTCTATCAGTAACAGGTATTGTGGAGGAGGGGATTACCAAGCCTCCTATAGCAATATACCCCTATATGAAGGGAGGCAATCTACACAGCCTGCTTCACAAGGCTAGACCTAGTCCAACCAACCCCAACACCCTGACTCTAGCTGATCAGATACACATGATGATATGCGTGGCGCGCGGTATGGAGGCCCTCTCCAAAACGGGCAATGTTCACGGTGATCTGGCGGCCAGGAACTGTGTTGTTGGGAGTGATCTGGTAGTGAAGATAGCAGACAGTGCTCTGTCACGTGACTTGTTCCCTAATGACTATCACGAGCTACCTGGCAGGGCGCCAGGGTGCCCGAGACTACCTATCAAGTGGATGGGAATTGAAGTTCTCACTGATCTCATGTACTCGACTATGAGCGATGTTTGGGCGTTCGGAGTCACTTTCTGGGAGGTAAGATTTACCGTTACACTCTGCAAGGCTATCTGAAACTGTTGGCACTCTTTATCTACACCGAAAAAAATTACCCATGTTCGACTTTCATCACTTATATCATAAGAACTTAAGAAAATCGTTCTGAAATCGTTACTGAAATACTGTTGATAGGTTAATATTTGTTCATCTTGTTTAGCCTACGCTAGTTAACAGGTTCTCGTATTTGTAGTTAATGAAGTTAAGATCCACATGATACGTCGTGTATGCTATCATTATCTCTTCTAATCATTTCATAAAAATTTCACTTCTGATCATTCGTCCTCTTCTATTATACCTCGTGGCTGTATGATCAGCCTGGACCGGTAAAATTCAGTAAACAATATACAGCATAACAACCTACACACAACTACACCAATTATAAATGCTCAGAAAACAGACTCTGCGAGTCCAGAAATTGTTCGGCAGTAGCTTTAGTAACCAAACCCAAAACTCTGTCACACAGCTCCATGAATCCTTCGTCTCATCATGCTTGTATTGTATTAACACCTGCTCTATGTTACCAGGTGTTGACGTTTGGAGAGGTGCCCTATGTGGATGTGCCAACCGGTGAGATGGTGAAACACCTCCAAGGTGGTTGGAGACTAATGCAGCCTGATGTCTGTACAGACGAACTGTTTACCCTTCTCGTGAGATGCTGGGCTATCAGCCCCGAGGACAGAATGTCATTCACTAATATCCTAGCTCAGGTAATTTCCTTATTATCTTAGTTCAAGTAATTTCACTAAAATTCTAGCTCAGGCAATTTCACTATTATTCTAGCTCAAGTAATTTCACTAATTATATACTAGCTCAGGTAATTTCACTAATATTCTAGTTCAGGTAATTTCACTAATATGCTAGCTCAGATAATTTCACTAATATCCTAGCTCAGGTAATTTCACTAATATCCCAGCTCAAGTAATTTCACTATTATCCTAGCTCGGGTAATTTCACTATTATTCTAGCTCAGGTAATTTCACTAATATCCTAGCTCAAGTAATTTCACTATTATTCTAGCTCAGGTAATTTCACTAATATCCTAGCTCAAGTTATTTCACTATTATCCTAGCTCAGGTAATTTCACTAATATCCTAGCTCAAGTAATTTCACTAACATTCTAGCTCAGGTAATTTCACTATTATTCTAGCTCAGGTAATTTCACTAATTATATACTAGCTCAGGTAATTTCACTAATATTCTAGCTCAGGTAATTTCACTAATATGCTAGCTCAGATAATTTCACTAATATCCTAGCTCAGGTAATTTCACTAATATCCCAGCTCAAGTAATTTCACTATTATCCTAGCTCGGGTAATTTCACTATTATCCTAGCTCAGGTAATTTCACTAATATCCTAGCTCAAGTAATTTCACTATTATCATAGCCTAGGTAATTCCACTAATATCCAAGCTCAAGTAATGTCAGACTTTACAAGTAGTCGGGTTAGTTGTTGAGTTGTTGTCTAATGACCTGTCTTCACGGCTATTCCTCTGAGTGTTCTATTGACTGCGCTTAGGTTACAGGCAAATTATCTCCGACTCTTCTCTGTTCTACTCGATTAGCTCTTACTATTAAGTAGTACATGTAAACTATAGTAAAGCAGTGAGATCACCTAACATGGCAAGTTTAGCGCACTCCTTACTGACGAGGAATAACACTTGCGAGATTTAGATACTCCCTAAAAGTAAAGCGGAAACTGAGTCACTAGTCTACGAGCCTATATCTGGCATGTTTTATTACAGAATGGGATAAAATACCCAGCACACTTAAACCAAGGTCACGATACATTGCATTTATCAGACCTCTAGCAACCGTTTCAAGCTTTAACCTCTAACCTCTAACCTCCAACAGCTGGAAGCGGTGCAGTGTAAAGGAGCTATGGGTCTCTACCGACCTTCCGTCTTGGAAGGAATCCTGAAACCCCCTCCACCCACCTCCCCATCAACTCCCATGTCAGACTCTGATCAGATCCAAGTGTAATCAGGCTAGCTATGACGTCATCATGACGTAGTAATTTATGACGTCATCTTTTGTTCAAGATATAGATTGAGTGTGTCGACCTCAGGAGGCTAAGCTGGACTGCAAAACGAGCGCTCTGATTCTCGTAGGAGAGATCTTATTATGATTTATTTTTGAGTGATGTTTATATTAAATATTTCGATCATGAATTTAAATAATGGCCATGAAGATCTTTGAAGGGCCCTGTAACTAAGGCCAAGGTGTTGCCATGGCAACCAGAGTTCAGATATGTGTTGTACTTAAGTGGACTGCCGCCTACGGACTACAGACTCACGACTAGAGTGCTTATCTTTTCTCTAACTCCACAAAAATGTCGTGTCATAAAACGTTATATAATGTAATTATGTATGTCATGCCGAAAAATTCACACTCGTTATGCAACCTCATAAATACACTGGGACCCTCGACGAATAGTAACTTTAAAGAATTATCTTCCTACCCGAGAATGTGCCTCACCTGATTTTCCAAAAAAGTGAGCATACTAGAGAACATACTAGAGAGCCTTCAAATATGTAGGGTGTAGGATATATAAGGACGCAATGAAACTACCGGACCACGATGTATGGGGACTTGCCAACCCATGGCAATATTAAAATATATCGACTCTGTTACATCGTTTCCTGTTAACATAAAACTCCGTTACAAATTGAACTGGGATCTGGCATATAATGTAGGATATATGTAGGGTGTAGGATCAATCTAGGCTACGAAAGATCCCCGTGCAGTGTACTGTAGGACCCCCTCAGGTCGGGGGCAGCAGAGATAACTAATGAGCAGCTAAAATATGCTTGGTATTCAGAGGACCGCCGCGCTATAACATTAGTCTCCGGTGTGTACTCTTTACACTGTTCCCACAGAGTAGTTACACAGCAGGTCACCCAACCAGTGTGTCGTCTCCCACCTGTAGCAATGGTGGGGTGTGTCGTCTCCCACCTGTAGCAATGGTGGGGTGTGTCGTCTCCCACCTGTAGCAATAGTGGGGTGTGTCGTCTCCCACCTGTAGCAATGGTGGGGTGTGTCGTCTCCCACGTGTAGCAATAGTGGGGTGTGTCCTGTACACGTTCCGCACATTCCAAACCACAACCGACATCTCTCTGACAGATTTCAGACGTTGTAAGGTTTCTGGCGACGATTGGGAGGTCAACTCAGCAGGGACTCTATACTTGGGTCTTGCTACCACCAGTAAACTATCCAACAGTGGCTATTGTCACTTCTCGTTCCAGCATTCTGTAGAACGCCTGCAATATTCTCTGTGTTACTGAGTTGCATGCTCTCCGCAGAGGAGGTAGTACAGGGAGAATAATGTGACGGGGAGTAAAATGCAGCGCAATATCCGGGTCTCGTGTAATTATTTGCTTTAACTCAATCCTCAGTGTGATATATAACGACTAATTTAGCTCTCTCTCTCTCTCTCTCTCTCTCTTGGGTCGACTAAAAGTGTAATCATCACGACTCACGTCATCTCAGAGATGACAGAGTATCATCTCATATGACGGGGTATCATGCAACACAGGGTTTAAGTAGCCCGAGTAACTCTAGCTACATTAGGGTGAGTACCCCTGTAAGTACTCACTATCTAATGTGTGATTACAGCGCGTATTTGCGAAGTTATAAAGTGAACTTAGTATAATTGTTATGCTACGGTTTTCTGATTGCTAAACTGCCAGGAGGTGCTGAATTTTATAGATTACAAGCATGATACACATTGTGATAGCTCGCTACATTTTAGTGGTCTCTCCATCTCAACAATGCTCCAGCTCGGCGGGCCAATATTTGACCAGTAACCACAGAATTCTGTACTCGATCTTCTTTTAAAAGATGATATAATTTTTACACTGCGATATAATAGTCAGGCAAGGTGTATGTGATTATGGTCAGGCAGGTGATAAGGTGTCATCTGTATTATTATAGGCACGGCGTTGAGGTGCGATTGTTGTTAGATTCTGAACCGGATGTAAGCTATTAGTGGTAGAAAACAACTGGGCGAAATCTGAAAAGTATATCGGATTTGAAACTCTGTAAACCATGCTGGTTGAGTGTGTTTTCTGTTTGCGTCTTGCGATGTTAAATGACGACCATCATAACATTAACAATGGATGTCAAGCTTACAGAAGTGATCAGTTATAGATATTTAAAACCAACCCAGTTTCTATTAGTCTCAACCTATCTTTCGATCAGCTTTGTTTTTACGATAAGAAGACCCTAGGAGAGTATCCTAACTTGCTGCTACATACATGTGAGAGGAGACATCTGAATGATCTCAGAGACTAACCCTATATTATTGGCACACTAGTGTGCTATAGTGTGCCACTGTGTCAGACTGTGTCACCACTTGATAAGTGTCCAATCAGTGTTGGAATCATGGCGACTACTTAGTACTATTAGCTGGCAAATCGCCAACACCGTACATTTCATGCGGATACAAAGGGAATATATACATTACAATATATATATAGAACATATAGCATTAACAATTACACAATGCTAACACTTAAAACCGTGAATAGTGTAAGAAAATACACATTAGCTTGACAAAGGAAGATGTAGAGGGCCGAGAACCATTGTCATGAAACTTCCCGCTTACAATAGGAGGTGCCAGTGAGAAGTGTGTTCAGTATTGCATGAGTTGAGGTGTTTTACAACAGTCCCAGTCACTAGTAGTCAAGGTAACACGTACGTGTGTGCGTGTGTAACGAAGCGTATTGTTTTTGTCAGATGTATGTTAATTATTGACATCCTGTCCAGCGAGCTGGAACCCTCTATGAGAACGCACTGCATGAACAGAACACGTGACATGCAACAGTTGTCAAGGTAACAACACCACGTGACCTTATCACATCACGTGATCACACCACAAACCGTGTAAGTTAGCAGCTTCACCTAACCAGGTAAAATGACCCGGAACTCGGGTACTAGAACGTCATTAGAAAGCAGGGTTTCTATTGGTTAGGGTGTGGTGACGTCATGAGAAAGCTGGGCTCCTATTGGTTGACGGCTGGTGGCGTCATGTTCGTTCTTTGTTCTAATTGGCTGTCGTAGTTTCAAAGCAATGTTTGACAGTTCAGTATTGATGTTAAAGGGTGTGGTGTTTCCGGTGTCAGTTCAATTGAGGTGATAGTGAGAGTGTACACGTAATACATGCACCCTGGCTAAACAGCTAAACCTGTGTTTTATACATTCCTATCTAGCTACAGAATAGAGAAGGGGTATTATGGTAGATACTCTCATTTGGAATGAACAGTTTCAGATGAAGTTATGTTAATGTTGAGAAATTTTTCGGTATGCCATACATAATATAATTCAAATTGACGTTCCGTTCTGTGTGAAAGCAGATGAATCTAGCTAATGAGTGCGGTTATTAATGGGATTTAATGTGTGGTCTCTAGGAGGGATCCGTTTGAAAAATAATTTAAGATCTTTACCAGTTTACATTTTTTATTTATAAAATGTGTTTTATTAAATTAAATAAAAGTTATCTTATTGCATGGAATTTTTATTCATAAGCAGATTATATCAAGATTTCATACACACAACACGATCAGTTGCGTTATTGTTTTCAAGTTAAATCGTTTTTAAAGTTGTAAAGGATAGTCTACTACATTCTACCTTCACACTATAATGTGGTTGAGTTTATGGATGGGATATATATTTAAAATTAAATGTAATATTCGTTACCTTATCATTAGTACAGCTGACCCCGATATTTCGTGTTATCAATGTTTTGTGAAATGTTATTACTCTCTTTCTAAAATTCTTAGACTTTTTGGCGTTTTGAAAACTTAAAAAAATCCCAAAGCTAAACTTCGTTGAACGCAGTTTCTGGTACATGGTAACTAAATCAGTAGATAGAAGAGTACTGTTGACGAATCAGTATGAAATATCACGGGTCTTCTGTACTATTGATTCCAAATAGTTGCTAATTTGAGATAATAATGTTACGCTGTTACACTATTACACTGTAATGTTACACTGTTACACTGCTGTGTTACACTGTTACACTGTTGTGTTACACTGTAACAGTGTAATGTTACACTGCAATGTTACACTGTAATGTAACAGTGTTACATTGTAACACTGTTTAGTTAGTTCACGTTTAGTTGGCCCGATGGTTTTTATCCGCTCAAATTTTATCATCTTTTGTAAATGTAATCACTGATATTAATTTTACGACAATTTACGAGACGATTTCTTCAAACACAGTTTTAAAGTTTTCGAAAACGTGGTTCAAAGTTATTCGTTACAGCATGAGATTTCAGTTTTTAATGTTCTACTGTATCCGGTATCTTTAGACACAATTTTCTAGTTATCTTTTAGGTTTTTAGTCGATTGTAATAATTGAAGTGAATAAGTTTATAATCATGTGTTGAAATAGGGACACTGTATTGAGATTTAAGATTTCTACTGCAAAATTTCTACATTTAACATTTAGCGCACCCTGTCACCGCATCCCCTAACTCAGCCGTGAAGTTAACGAATTACAATACCTTTAGACGAATGTTAATTTAGTTTCTTAAAGTATTGAGCTCATGTTCCGTCTTTCAAACAATGGGTGTTGAAGATATTTACTCTGAAAGGAAGTTAAAAATAGATATTATACTAGAACATATTGTTGCTGTTGCTAACAGCCTGCCATTATAATACTGACGTGGTATTTTGTCGGTGAGTTTTATACAGTTGTGTAAGATAAGTATTAGAAAGAATGAAATATACACAATGTATTGCTAGTTTTAATTTGCAATTCAGCCCAAGATAACTGCTGTCTCGTCTCACTTTGTCTCCTCACTAAATGACCCATTATAATACTCAGCTCACATATTATCGTAACATTCTAGAACACACACTAAATGTATGGTGTAACATTCCCGAGGAGAAGAAGGAGGAGGAGGACCTCGTGTAAGAGAAACACATAACATTAGTATCTCCGTCACATGTCACATACCATTATATCCGTCACGGATAGAAATACTCACATATTTTCCAGCCCCTCCGTCACGCTCTCTCCATTCAAAGTGTACCAAATTAACTTAAACAGCCCCTGATAATTGAGGACTATGTGTGTGTACATTTTACTGCTCACTCATTACTAAAACTCTCACAATACCTCACCAGGTGAGCACGTCACGTGCTAGTCACGTGGGCTGACACGTGGGCGGTGAGATAACACGTGCTAGACACGTGGGATGGAGCAAAGTCACTAGCCCCATTAGTTAGGAACCTAACAGATACATTCTGTAGAGGGGGGTAATACTGCTCTTTGTAACACGTACTGTTCAAATATGTGGGGTATTCGGGGGGAATGGCAGGAATTTTAAAATGTTGAAGAGTTTCACGGGTATGTTCCGGGGATTGTAGAGCAAGTTGATAAAGACTCGGGAATGTTGTTTCAGCTCCAGGTCCCATCATGCCGCTTGGTTATATCATCGTGAAATGTGGAATTTTAAAATAAAGGAGCTTTCAACTTTATAATCTATTTTAAGAGACAAAAGAAGATCGAATGTGTAAATGATCCCATGGTATGCATGGTATGCATTATGTGAGATGCATTATAACGTTCCCAAGGTTTTAAAGATTGGTAAATGTTACTAAATAAGTAATAAGTATCGGAATTTTAAAAGACTAGTGAAAATGGCTGGTTCAGTTTAAAGATTTGTAAATTTAGTAGCACAGAATATATCTTCGTTAACATATGTTTTAAAGGTTTCCCACAACAGCAAATTGTGATGTATCATCGTATGGTTATTTGCCTATCTGCAGAGATGCACCATGCTTAACACGCGTCCAAATTTGCAGTAAAAGTGAGTGATAGATTGATAGTGGACAAGACGGTACTTATGTTTCGTGCTTAATCAAAATAAACGTTTGATATAATCAAGACTCAGCTTAACTCATATGATCATTATATTATGTGATTGCACGACGCACGTATAATGGAAATAACTACTTTTGTATT